CTCATCATTCTCCCCTTGGGACGACGACAGAGGCCCCGCCCTGGGGCTGAGGGAGCCTCTTGTTTATTCCAGGGAATCCGACTCCATGTGCGGGGAGGGGGGGCTCCGGGGCGCGGGGGCCAACACGTGGCTCGAGTGGAGCCGTGTGGTCCCCATGCATCGGCCCAGAGCTGATGCCCAGCGGGAGGGGACACGACCTCTAGGAGCAGGGACGTTCGTCCTGTCCTGGGCACGGCACTCGCGGTGGCACCTGCCACGGCAGGAAGCTGCCTGCGGCTCCACAACCGAGGGCTGGCACCCAGCGCCGGAGCCCGGCAGAACACCCGTGGGAGTTAATGTCCAGGGGCCACCCCTCGTCTGAGAGAACCCCTCCAACGGACCCTGCGGCCCGAGGAAGCGCCCACCGGGGGTGGGCCGGGCCCCGGGCACGCTGCTTGCGTCACGTTTCTCACCGTGACAACCTTCGGTTTCTCCAGTGAGCAGACGGGGCCGCAGCGAAGGAGCCCCCCCTGCCCCAGCCCCACGAGGGGGAGGGGCTGCAGCTCAGGTGGGGCCCAGGCGTGTCTGACCCTTCCCCTCGAGGGGCTCCAGACCGAGGGCAGGGGGGACGGGCGCCCGGGTGGCCTGCGGGCGGGCAGCGCCCTCGCCCGCTCCGCGGCACCTGCACGTGGGCGGTGGGCGGCTCCCCGCCAGCGGGGCCCTGTGCTGGTCCATGCGCTCACTCACTCACTCACTCACTCGTCCAGCGGGCTGCGCAGTGCCCACTCCCTGCCAGGGGCTGCGGTCTCTCCAGGGGCGCCAGCCCGCCGGCCTCTTAAAACACACCCCTGGAGTTTCAGCCCTCCGGACTGAGGCACGGCATCGCCAAGAATACCCCCCAAAATGTCAGGGGAGTGGGTGGCGTGGCCGTCGAATGTGCATTTCCAGGGCCCTCACGGCCTCTGCGGGGGGCACAGGAACCGCACTGGTGAGGGAAGGAGGGGAAGGACCACGTTGTTCAAGGGTGGCGGTGGCTTTGTCCCACTGCCCAGGTCCTCCGATGGCAGAAGCTGATGGGAAGGCTGTCGGGGGGGGTCTGCCTGGGTGGACCCCCTAGCGGGGGTGCCTGCGGAGGAGACCAGGAAGCAGGAGACCAGGGAACCGGACAGAAAGGGGGCAGGCGCCGGACTCTGGCCCCGCCCCCCCCACAGGTGCCTCCCCACCAGCTCAGACTCACAACTACACCTTCACGGGGGAGGGACGTCCTGGTGCCCGAAGACCCAAGAGCCCCGCGGCCACCTCCTGCCCACCCCGGTCCAGCCATGTCTCGCCAGCTCCCACCTGACTGTTCACAGGGGGAAACGGCCCATGGGCTTCCAAGCACGTCCCGCGCCCCAAGCCCGGAGAGCAGCCCCAGAGACCCCCCAGGGTGGAGGCGCAGGGCCAGCCCCCAAGCACCCACCCTCGAATCCACCAGGGCTGACAGCTTTTCCAGGTAAGGTCCTTTTCTCTCCCTGGTACCCTGGGCAGGGGGTGGCCGGGAACCAGGGGGCCTCCCTAGGGCCAAGGTGCACCCCAAGGAAAGAGCCCAGGGCTGTCCCCTAAGTGGGGCTTTCCCGGGTGGCCATGGCCATGGCCGGCAGCAAGGCCGGACCCAGCCCAGGGCACTGAGCACTTCACTCGCTGAAGCTCCCCGGCCCCCGCGCCCGCGCTGCCTGCCGGCCTGGTTCCCTCACTCCCCGCCCGCCCTGCCCGCGGCCTCCTGCTGCGCTCTGCTCCTTTCCAGGAAAACTCCTCCGGGAGCCAGGTTGACGGGCAGGCCCTGGGCCCCGCCTGGCTCCCGGCCGCCCGCACGGCCAGCTGGGACAGGGCGGGACTCCCCAGGGGGACGGGGCCAGCCCCGTCCACAGCTGAGGAGGGGTCGATTCCAGGGGCCCCCGGGGCAGGCCAGGAACCAGGAACAGCCCGGGTGGGCGGTGGGGGCCTTCATGGCCCCTGCTCACGTTTCCCCGGCTTCGAGCCCAGCTCTGGAACGCAGGTGCGGGCAGGGAGGGGGCCTGCACACCGGGCCAAGAGCCACACCTGTGTCCCGTGCCACAGGCCTCTCTCTCAGTTGCCCCGGGGACAAGGACCCAGAGCTACCGATGCCCCGAAAGGGCTCACGGGCCCCTGTGGCTACTCACACCACCGAGCCGTCGCCCAGGGACAGGAGGGGGCGGGTCCCAGGCCGCAGGCTCGGGGAGGAGGGACAGGCCCGTCTGCCGGCCTTGGGCACGTCGGTGGGTCCAACGTGCAGAGCTGGCCCTGGCGGGCCAGGCACCCAGGACACACGCCGGCGGGCTCCCGAGAGCCCCAACCTCTGGGCCTCACCGTGCAGCTCTGGGGGCGGCCCCGGGGGGTGGGAGGAAGCACCCCGTTCAGGCTGGTCCACCTGGTCCTCTAAGTGGCTGGGAATCCCTCGCGCCGAGGGCGGGGCCCGGGAGGCACCCCGTCTCATGTGACTGTTCCAGGAGGCAGATCTCAACAGGGAACAAAATAAATAGTAATCCCCAGCCCACACGGTAGCTGTGCCACCACGATGAATCTTGGCCGTGGGCCTGGGTTAGACACCCCGGGGTGTCTCCTCCGGAAGCAGACGAGGCTGCTTCCCGAGGGCCCGCCGCTCTCCCCGGTGGCCTGGCAGGCAGAGCCGGGGGCCGGAAGCTCTCGGCCTTCCTTCCGTTGGCAAGCGGTCACCGCCAGCCCTCCCCGAGGGCCCCGGAGCCGCAGCCACCCCCCAGCCCCGGGGACAGGGACCCCCACGCACTGCCAGCCCCCGTGAAGACGAGAGCACAAAAACAAGCTCCTGTCCCGGGGAGGACGCCCGGCGGCACCACCAGATCCGCGAGATTCTTTTCATCTTTGTTTTGATGGGTGAAGTTCAATGCCAGAATATTTGGCTTGTGAGTCACGCTCATTACGGCCGGGGTGGCTGAGGGCGGGCGGGCGGGCGGGCGGCACCGGGAAGAACGGCAGAGAGAAGCATCTTCCCGAGAAGCTGTGCTGGGCCGCTGCCGCAGGCAGGGGGTGCCCGCGCCCTCCCCGGGGCCACGTCAGCCCTCCCAGCCCCCTCCCCCCCGCGAGGCGCCCCTCGAGGCCTGGCTGCACCTTCCTCGGATGGGGGCGGGGGGGGCGGGGCGGCGGCAGCGTCCTCCGGCTGGCGGAACCCACCCAGGACCTGCCGTGTCTCCCTGACCTGCTGGCTACCGGGGCACTTGGCTTCGCTTCTAGAGAGGCTCGCGGTGGAGAGAGGAGGAGAGAGCGCCAGAGGAGGGCACTGGGGTCCCCGGGGAGCAGAGCCCGGCCGTCCCTCCTGCCCCGCACTCTCTCTGGGAGCAGCGGGGGGGAGGCGGACACTGGGGAGCGAGAAGCTCGGGGCCCCGGCCTCAGCTCAGCCGGCTGTGCGTCCTCAGCCGCGAGCAGGTCCCAGCCCTTCCCTGGGTGCAGGGATGCCAGGCTGCGTCCCCGGTCCCCGTCCACCGCCTCCGGGGCACACGTGAGCCCCTCTGAGCTTCTCGGGGCTGGAAGCGCCATGGCTGGAACCGTTCACAGTTGCCGTTTGCTCTGGGCCTACTTGCGGGTCACACACACACACACACACTCACACACACACATACTCACACCCACGGCTGCCATTATTTTTGTCGCCACAGTTACTGCCGGGGTCATCCTCTCAGCTCTCGGGGCCGGAGGGACAGTGGGGAGGAGGGCAGAGAGGGGGCGGGTCAACCCTCCGCGCCCCCCACCATCTCCCTTGCACCTGCATTTTCTCCCTCCTCTCCCGTGGGCAGGGCCGCTGGGCAGGCCTTGGAAGGAGGCTCTTCCCGGCCACGGCAGGCCTCGCCCTGTAGCCCACGCCACGGTCAAGTGCGTCTGTCTGTGGCCTTGCCCGTGGGCTGGCTGCGCGCTTCCCCGCGCTATAAAAAGCGAAGGCCTCGCAGCCTCTGAGGACCTCATGGCCTCCCCCGGGACCCAGGACTCGGCTAGCGGCTGGGAAGACTGGGTTTCTCAGGACGCTCATTTTCAAAGCTCCGAGTGCGCCCGGCTGCCCGCGTCCTCAGGAACTAAGTGGCAGAGAGACAGAAGGGAGTCCCAGCGCGGTGGCCGCCTCCCTGTTCCGGTGGGCCGGGAGGGCTGCGGGCGCCCACGGCGCACACACAGGGCTGCCCAGGAATGGGCACGGCGGGGCCCAGGGGGGCAGGGCACAGGTGCCCAGGGCAGGTGGGGCGCACCCCTGCACCCGTGGGGCGCCCTGGAAGAGTGGGGTCAGCACACACGGGGTCGGCACACAGAGGCGCGTGCCGTCCGGGGGCTCGAGGGCAGCTCAGGGACTCGGCCCCAGACCAGGGGCCACTCTGGGCAGTGTGGACAGCCACGGGAGTGCCCCTGGGAAAGGGACATCACTGTTCCCTCTCCAGGCTGGACCCCCTCCAGGAACAGCGAGACTCGAGCTGGCGTCTCCTGGCCTGCGCGGGGTCCGCGTGGGCCACAGGCAGGACCGGGCTCGCCTGGCTGCCAGCTGATCCGGGCGGGGCCGGGGGGCTCCCCGCAGGTGCGGAGGGGCGGCGGGTCCTGCTCCTGTTCCTTTCACACCCTCAGAGCAGCACCAGACAGGAGTGAAGCAAGAGAGACGCCCCACAAAGCACAGGGACAGAGGTCCCGTCGCTCCTGACCGTGTCCGTCTGCCACAGAGCCCCTGCCCCCAAGTCACAGAGGGAGCCGGAGGTCAGCCCACCCCCCGCCCCCGCCACCCTGCCGCGCACTGCGGCAGGGAGAATCGAAGATGGGCACCGAACCCTTCCCGCCGCCGCTCCCAGCCTTTCTGCCCCTTTGCCACGGTGCCACCCGGGGCCCCTCCCACTGGGCTCCTGGCCCGCCCGCAGCTAAGGTGTCTGCTCGGCTCTGGCGCTCGGGCTGAAGCCGCGAGAAGCGGCGGGGCAGCGCCGGGTCCCACCCGGCCGGGTCCCCGCCCGGCCACCTACCTCCAGCCGGCGTCCTCCCCTCGGCCTCCGGGCCCTCCCAGCACCGCCTCCTACAGCATCTCCCCGCAGCAGAGCCGCCCCCGGGCCGGGCCGGGGAGGAACAGGCTTGTCGAGGGAGCGGGAGCCGGGAAGGAGGAAAAAGCCCTCCGGGGAGCAGGCTGGGAGGGGGGGGACCAGTGCAGGCAGCAGCCAGTCCCGTCCCGCACCTCGGTCTCCTCTGCTCCAAGTTCTCTCCCTCTCGCTCTCTCCCTCTCCCTCTCTCTCTCTCTGGCCAGAAGCGGAAACAGGGTTTCTCGAAAGTAAAGGAAGAGCTGGAGCAAGCAGGACAGCCGCGCGGAGAGCAGAGCCCAGCCAGATGTGAGCGGCCGCCGGGCCTCCAATGCCCCCAGTGCATTCTCTCCAAACAGCAGCCGCCCCGGGTTAACTGTGTGTGTGCCCGGGGGCAGGGAGGGCCGCGTGGTCTTCCTCCTGGACCCCTGCCCCCGGGGAGCTGGCCCGGGGCTGGGACTGGGGTGGCCACTCCGAGTGTCTGGAAGTCTGCCCCGGGGGTGGGGGTGGCTGGGAGCCCAGGACATGCAGGGCAGGGAGCCCCAAGTCGCCCCCTAGCAGGGGGTCAGGGTTCGAGGAGCTCAGGGGGCATGCGCAGCCCACTAGGGTGGGTCGAGTCCCTGGGCGGTGGCTGACCTGAGGCACGACTTCAATGAGGGCCACCCCCTGGGGTCCAGGGGCCCCAGAAGGTTTGGGGACGTCTGTGAACTCCGGAAGCAGAGTGCAGAGTCACACGTGTGCCCTGGGACAGCGACGGTCGTGGCTTCTGCCAGCTCCCGAGGTTGGAAACCCCTCGCTGGGGTGGGGGGGGGGCAGATTTCCCGGAGCTCAGTGTGTGTGTTGCTGGGGGGAAACGGGGAGGGGGGGGACAGGAAGGACAGCAGTGTTTCTCAGTCCCATTCCTTGACAGGAGAATCGGACGTCCTGCCCATCTTACACTCGAGTTCTTCCTCAACGAGTCCCTCGGCCCCACCTCGCCGCCCTCTCGCTGCCCCCGGGGTTCCCGGGAACTGTGCCCCCCACGGGGCTGGTCTCCACCCCCATACTGAGCCAGGCCGGCTTGTTCTGGCTTCTTAGCATGTCACGAGAAGAGATAGGGTCTGGCCAGAGAAGCGAAGCTCTGGTGTGATAAGAGTTCTCTTTCTTTGCTGCTTCTTTCTAAACCCTTGCTCCCACCCCTCCCCCACCCACTCTGACGTCACACCTGCCCTTTCCGTTTCCTCGTCAATCACTCCGCTCAGGGCCTCTCCCTCTGGCTACACCTGGACGGGACCGAGAGCCTGGGATGCTGGTTTGGGATGTTTGGGGCAAAACAAAGAGTCTGCAGCTCCTCCCTCCCCTGCCCTGGAACACCCTTCCCTCCTCTGCTCCCCGCAAGAAATCTAAAGCGGGGTGCGCATGCCCGACACCCCCCCAGGCACCCCTTCCTGCCAGGGCAGGCTGAGAGAGAACAGGGGAATGGGAGAAGAGGGGCGTTCTGGACGCGGTACAGCCCGTGAGAGCCCCGTGGCCACCCCAGGGAGACCCAGCAGCTGCCCCCGCTCGTGGCAGCAAAGGGAGAAATGCTCCCGTCCTGAGCGGTCTGGCCAAGTTCACGGGCTCGCCGACACGACGAAGCAGCCGCGAGACCATCAGAGACGCTGTTTCAGATGCGTCAGAAAGTCTTTGCTCCCCGTCCCTGGCCCGTGTCTGAGGCCCGGCCGGACTCTCGTCCCTGGTGGACTGGGGGCAAACCCCAGGAAACCCATCCACATGGGGAAACCCGGAGACAAGCCGGCCTGTGCCCCGGGCACGGCAGGAGGACCACTCCTGTCAGCGCGACCCAGGCCCGGCACAGGCCCTGGCCTTCCCCCGGGGCCCTGTCCCCAAAGGGCCTTGGCAGCGGGAGGCCAGGGGAGGGACACCACAGAGAAGCAGGACCTTTGTCCCCGGACACTGGAGGATCCTCCGTCAGGACGCTCGCATTTCCTGTGCTGGGGTCAGAAGCGGCCATTCTCTCACAGTCCGGGTCACACCGCTGCGTCCAATTTGTTTGTGCCAAGTTTCTGGGGGTGGGGGAGACTAGGGTGTCAGAGCTTTTTATATTTGGGGGGTTCGGAGGCGGAGGTGTCCAAGCTTTGGGCATCCCCGGGGCCACCCTGGAAGAAGAGTTGTCCTGGGCCACACATCAAATAGACTGGGACACGTCATCACCCAAAACAAATCTCATAGCGTTTTAAGTAAATTTACGGTTTTCTGTTGGGCCGCGTGGGGCCCGAGGGCTGCAGGCTGGACGCCCCTGGGGGGGATTCTGAAACTGCACATGCCCCCGCCACCCCGGAGGAGGGGTTGGCGGACCCCAGACAAAGCGCCAGCGGGCTGCTGTGGTCATCTTCACCGTAAGTGCCCTCTTCTCCCCTCCCTCCGCTGGAGCCCAGCCCCCCGCCCCAGGCCCAAGAGATTAGGGGCGGGGCTCCCCGCTGTCCTGAAGCCGAGCCGGGAGGGGGGGGGGAGCGAAGTGGGGCTCCCCAGGGCATCCAGGTGAGCCAGGGGGCTGGGGGGCGTGGCAAGCCCGAGGGCAGAGAGGGGTCAGGCCCGGCTGCAAGGCAGCCTTCCCGGAAGGAAGTGAAATGCGTCCCCCGAACGCAGAGCTGGCCCGGTCCCTAAATGCCCTCTGTCATCAACTTCATTTGCTGCTTTGACATGGTAAGCAGGGAAGATGGGACATTGCGCCGGCCACAGGCGGCCTTGAGGACGGCTGGGTTCCCTTCCGCGGCCCGGCCGCGGCGCCGCTCAGCACCAGGGGCGAAGGTTCTCGGTTCAGCAAATATCTTCCCCTTGGACGGAGTCCTGACCAGCAGTAGGACAGGAGTCATGGCAAAACGAAGCAAAACAAACAGCAACAGCAGGGACGGCTGAGGCCAGCGCAGGGCCCGGGGGAGGTTTCATCAGCCTGGGCCGGGTCGGAGGCCAGGGCTCACCGAATGATGAAGGCCCCGCCCCCCCAAGGTCTTTCTTCTGGGCTCCCCAAGGGCCGCAGGCCACGCCCACCCGGGAATTCCCTAGCAGCTCACACCTCCTACCCCAGAGGCCGGGGGCCAACCCCCAAAGTCACCGGACTGTTCCCAAGAAAAGGGCGGGACGTAAAGCCCCGAGACCCGGGGGAGAAGGACGTTCCCGGAACCGCGGGGGGAGCACACCACGTGTCCCTCGGGGCTGCCAGTTCCTTCTCTCTCCCTGGGCACGTCTGTTTTCTCTTCGCTGCAGAAAACTATGTGACCTTGGTCCTAGTCTGGGAGCCGTGCGGTTCCCGATAAGCAGCCCCGGACCTCAGCGGCCCTGGGATTTTTCCCGCCGTGACCCCAGCGGTCTGCCCCTTCCCAGCTATTTCGGGCCGGGCTGCCCAGGCGTCCCACAGGGGCAGAGGCTGGTATGGCAAACTTCTGGATTCCTTTCCGAAGGGTGGCCACAGGCAGGCTCCGATGGCGGGTCCCACTGCCAAGGGGTGGGGGTGGGGCGGCCTCCGTGGAGCTTCGGAGAGGGAGCCGAGATGGAAACTTGGCAGCCGGGCCCAGCCTCCCTCCCTGGCAGCTGGCCCACCCTCGTGGCTCCCGGAGAGCGGTGCCCGCGGTCTTGGGGGTTTGGGGCAGGTGGTGCTGGCGGCTGGCGGCGGCAGAGACGCAACCTGCTGACGTCCTGCGTTCCCCGCCTCGCGCCTGCAGAAGACCCCGCCTGAGGGGCACCAGGCTGTCCTAGGATGTGCCCTCTGCCTGCTCCACGCAGAGTCAGGCGGCCCCGGGGGGGAGGCCACGTCTGCAGGCTCACTTCCTCCAGTCGCGGGCTCCCTGACTCTAATCGGGCCGCGTGGTGCCCGTGCCTCGATTTCCCCATCTCTCAGCGTGTCTGTCCCTCTTTGGGCGAGTCCTTTTTCGGACTTGCAGTTAAGACCGAGATAGGCAGAGGCAGGCGGGTTAGGCAAAGTTTTCCTTAATAAATACAGTGGGAGGGCCCCCTGGTGGACGGCGCGAGGCTAAGCACTCCACCCTGCGGTGAAGGAGCCGGCGTGAGTCAGCGCGTGAACGCGTAACTCCAGCAACGCAGCGTGGGCCTTTCCTGCAGAGCCGCGGACCAGAGCAGGGCACTTCTGCGAGGAGGCCCTGGTGAGGCCTCCCAGGGCGCAAAGGAGACTCGGAGAATGAAAGTCACCGGGAAACCCACGAGTCAATGACCGCCGAGTCACGGTTGACGGCGGGGAGCCCATTTCCCAGCCGCGTGACCGGAAGTCGGCCCCCTGGAGGAGGCGACACCCTTGGACACAGTCCTCTTCTCCAGGACTTCGTCCCACAGGCACACTCACAGCTGTGTCCGCACCGCAAGTCCAAGGACGGGGCCTGAGGCCTTGCCGTAACGCGGAAGGATCGCAGATGCCCTGGAAGGGCATCGCCGGGCGGGGGAAAACGCGGGACAGTCCCTCCACGCGGTGGGACACCACGCCGCTCCTCAGAGAATGCAGAAGCCCCGGGGAAACGACGGGGTGGAACAAGCTACACTGGGAGGTGAAAAATTACGAACGTTATTGAAAGACATGCTCTAAAAAAAAACCCCCGAGAAAACGGAAAGGCAAACTGTGTTCTTGGGTGGAAGAGCCATACAAACCTCAGTCCTGGCCCAGCCTCTCTCCAGATGGAAAAGAATTCCGTTCAAAATCCCAAAAGGCGGGGTGGCCGGGATGTCACCGCGTGGGGGGCGGGGGCCTACAACCTGTGAAGGTTTGTCATAAAGAGGTGCTAATGAGGACAGTGGTGTCGGAGCAGGTATGAACTATTATACCCACACAGTGTAACCAGAAGCCCCCATCGGGGGCGCATGTCCGGAAACTGAAGCTATTATTAAACTGGCATTGCACGCGTATCGGTGGGGAAGGGACGGACTATTCTCCAAACACAGCACGGAGATGTCTGCCATGTGTGGAAGAAGAGATACATGTGACCAAAAATGTAAGAAAGGTACACCTTGCTCGGTGACTGGGCAGCTGGAAGACACCTGGGCCGACATGCTGGTGAAAAGAACACACCTGACATTCATACACCCAATCCTGTGGGGCAACAGGGTCTCTCCTCCACTGCACACGGTTTTGTTTCATTTTTGTAAAAGTGATTATAGGCGTATACATTGTTCAGGGTCACAATGTTCAGGATTGTGGGCACCTCTCGGGGTGACAGGCAGTTGGGAGCCAGGAGGAGCACCTGAGGGCTTTCAAGGTCAAAGGGTTCATGTTTCATTTTCTTAAGCTGGAAAGCATATAAAGATTTAGGTATCTTAGCAAATGAAAATTTGAGTAATTGAAAACAATGATAGTAATATCTGGTATATGGGTGGAACTCACTTCACGATGGGAAACAGAAGTGAATTTCAAAAGAGGTTTGTCCTCTTCTACACCCCCCCAGTGCAGAACTGTGTGTTTAGCACATTGCCGTCTGGTTCTGAAAAAGGCAATTTAATGTATGTGTTTATGATTTGTTCGTGTGCCACCAAATATCTGTAAGAATAACCGCAAGGAACTAGTAGCAGTGACTGCCTCTAGGGAGGGAATGCAGAACAGGGAGGGGGGGCTGTTTCTCGCTGTGCGCCATTTACATAATTAGAATTTTTTGTGTGCATCTGCTACTCTAATGAAAGGCTCCCGAGAGACCCAGAGATGTTTGCACGCACGATGGGAGGCTGCTGTGTGACACCCAACACTACCAGGCTTTCCCCCCAAGACTTCTAACTGGAGCACCACTGCCAGACTTGGGGGTGGGAGGCAGGAATGCCTTTTACCATATTCCATTAAAATAGCTCGAGCGCTGGAGAAACGGGATGGATCAGAGACCCTTATTTGGGAAGGGCTTTGTGGACTGCCAAGTCAGGGGAACTTCCGCCCAGGCCGCTCCAGCGGCCTGATCTTGGCTTTCGAAACTGATCATATTCCGACAAGGGCGCTTGGAAGACCCAAGGGGAAGGGGGTCTCTGACAACGAGGGTGGCAGAAAAGGGCCCGGGCAAGAGGTCCTATAATTTCAGCTACAGGAATGATAACATCCCTCCCGAGTAGTCTTGACCCCTGTCCCGCTCCCCTTTCTGCGTTGCTGACGTTCCTGATTGACGCGGGGTTACCTGCCTGAGGGTAGGCAACGCATAAGTCCCTCCCCCCTGCCCTGGACCCGCTCGATGAGCAACAAAAACTACAACTCCCAGCAGGCCCTCCAGCGTCGGGTGCGCAGCCGCAGAGCAGAGGCTGCCGGGAGCGTGTTGCCCGGAGGCGTGGCGAGGGCGCCGGGCGGAAGTCGGCTCCCGCTCGGACCCGGCCCTGCCTGCAGCGAGGCCTCCGCTGTCTGCGGGCCCCGGAGCCAGCCCGCACCGGGTGAGTGACGGCTGCGCCGGTCCGCTGCCGCCCTCCGACCTGACCGAGTCCCGCGCCCAGCTCCCGCACGACCCCCCTCCATGTGACCGATAGGGCCCCAGATCCGCAGATGAGCTCTCCCCTCTGATTGCGGTGGGCCGCCGGCCTCTGACTCTGAGGACCCGTCCCCTTCTTCCTACTGGTGGCGGACACCACCCCCCTCTGACTTGAGGACTCCCGCGTCCTCTGACCCTGGTGGATTGTGCGGGACACCTAACCCTGAGGACAACCCTCTGCTGCACCCTCTGATTTCAGCACCCCTCCTGTGACCTGCGCGGGGCGGGGGTCCCTCCTGCCCCGTTAGCGTGCCCTCCCCTATCCGATGGGCTCTTCGCATACCTGCAGCAACCCAGCCGTCCTCTCCTGTCCCTCAGCACAGCCCACTCTCCTTCCTTTGGCGCCCAGAGTACTCTCCCCCTCCGCCTGGTTGGGATCCTCTCATCCCTGGGGACCAGCACCTCCCTGCTCACCCTGCTCCTTGGAGCCTTTCTTCGTCCTTCCCTCGCCTTGGGGGGCCCCTCGCACCTGCGGTCACTCCCCTGTCTCCCAAGCGCCCTAGGGCCCCCCAGGAGAGCAGTGTCCCTTTGCACACCAGCCCCTTTTCTTGTTCCTGCCTCACAGTGGGTGCTTGGCAGCTTTTCTGGTACGTTCTCGGCAAAGCCTGCGTTTGGGAGCACGCCTGCTGGCGTGCACGGGTCCGGCCGGCTCTCCAGGGTCAGGGCCGGCACCTGACTGGAGCGCTGCCACACGGCAGGGGGCGTGGAGAGGAAGCGGCGCTGCAGCCCTGCGGGAGCCCTGAGGGCTGCAGCCTCTCCTTCCATTGCCTTCGGGGGTCTTCCCAGGCTGCGCTGCAGACCCTCTGCCAGCCCCCAGCCCCACCCGCAGGCCTCTCAGTGGACGGAAAAGTCCGGGCCAAGCCTGTGGACGGGGTGGGGCTTCTTGCAGAGCAGCCGGTGGCCTCCTGGGGCCCCTCCCTCCTGGCTTCAATGAGCCTTCTATTCAGGCCCTGCCCGCCTGCCGACAGGCACGTTAGCCTGCCAGCCTGCTCCGCTCCGGACTTCCTAGAGGTGTCCTGTCCCCGGGCAGCCCAGCGCGTCCCCTGGGGGAGCACGAGGTGGAGCGTGGCTGGTCCAGGCACTGTCAGAGCCCCCGCAGGGCCTGCAGACAGGGCCTCCTCTCCTCACTCTGCCCTTGTCCACGCCCACCTGACCCCTCGGTCGATGTTCTGTCCATCACAGGGCGGTGCAGGAAGTCACGTTCCGGGTGTACCGATGCCACCTCGTGTACCCACATGTCCCCCACTGGAGGTGCAAACCCGGTCATGTGATGTCTCCCGTGCACTGCAAGTCTCCTTTCTTCCCCCCAGAGCTGCACCCCAAGGGTGCGGTAGTTCACGCCCTGTACTTGTAGCAACTCAGTCAGTGTGTTGGTTTGAGCTGCTGGTCCTGGAGGGCGTTGACAGCTGGCCCCACCGCGCACCTAGTCCGCTGGGGCTCCGAGCCCCGAGGAGCGAGAAGAGACCGGGGCGCAGTGGGCGCAGGGCTTGCTCTGGCACTGTGTCCACCCCCCAGTCGCTGGAGGTGGCCTTTGGGGTGGGCACGCAGGTTCCCACAAGTGCACTTGGCCCCTTCTCTGAGTCCCCGGCCAGCAGTGTGGTGATCGTCATGGCAACCGTATGGGGACGGCTGTGAACGCGAGTTTTCTCTTTCAAAACCAGACTCTCTCAGCTCTGGGGCGGCGGGGGCGGCGGGGGAGGGTGCAGGGCCCCGAGACGGGTCAGCGTGAAGACGAGGAAGGGGTTGCCCTGTCGCGTGGACTTCTGTGGAATGGTGTCTGGGACCCTGGGTGTGGCGGGGGGACGCGGTTATTCTTTCCCTCCGTTAACACGCTGAACCGCGGGGATTTCTGGAAAGCTCCTAGTAAATGCCCACGTTAGGGGGATTTAAAACTTTTATAGTGATTGTTTAGGACTTTGATGTTGACTCAGACCGAGACGGTTGCTAGGGAAAAAACCTGGACACTGGAGAAATCTGTGTGGGAAGATGCTCGGGTTCTCTCCCCTCGCGGTTCCTTCGACCCCCACCTGCTCGTCGGCTCCGAGAGCCGGCGGGAAACGGAACTCACCGCCCCCGGCTCCCGAGCAGTGGGGTGGGCCGCAGGAGACGAGGCCGGAGTGGGGCCCGAGACGGGCCTCGAGCGTGCGTGGGGCAGGCCAGGTCCTGGGTGACAGCGTGGGTGCGAGTGTGAGGCTGGCGCCCCTGGGGAGCGGCCCCCAGGTGCCCCTGTGTCCCGGGAGCCCGGCGCTGCCTGCGGGAGCAGCCCTGATTCGGGCGGACGGTGGGGTTGTCGCACCCTCTGTTTCCGGCCCCGGAAAACAAGCCCAGCGGTGGGTGCCGCCGTTCGGGGCGGCACTTTCAGCCAGGAGGGCGGCCGTTCTGCCGAAAGTCCTCCGCGTGTGGCGCTGACGCTGCGGACGGGGCCCCGCCGGGACGGCGCAGGGAGTCCTGAGACTCTGCCGCCCGCCTGCCCTGACGCAGCTGCGCTGCGACCATGCGGGGCCCCGGGGAGAGGGGGAGGTTCTCTCCCTGTCCCCACGACCTCCACGTCCTACCCCCACGACCTGCAGATACGTCACACAGCAAAGGGGGGTTACGGGAGCAGCTGGAATTCAGGGAGCCCATCAGCGGACCTTCAAACAGGGAGACGGTTCTGCATTGCGCGGGAACGCCCATTGTGACCCCAGGGCGCTCACGGGGGAAGAGGGAGGCCGAGGGGCGGGGGCCGGAGGCCCTGACAGAGGCTGGACGGCTGGCTTGGGGTGGGTGTCGGGCGGGGGCCCAGGAACGGGGCGGCTGCTGGGAGCTGGAAACAGCAGGGAGGTGGGTCCTCCCCGTGAGCCCCGGAAGCACCGGCCCTCGCTCTCAGCCCAGGGAGACCCACGCAGACTTCCGTCCCGCGGGGCTGCCTGGTGACCTGCCGGGTGACTGCCGGCCAAGCTGCCAGAGGTGCAGCGGTGTCGCCTGGTGTCGCCACAGCGACAGAAAACTAACGCTCGCCTCTGGGCTGGTTAACTCAGAAACAGGGCTGAGAAAGAGGTTTTTTAAAAATTTTTATTTATGTATTTTTAGACAGAGGGGAAGGGAAGGAGAAAGAGAGAGGGAAACATCAATGTGTGGTTGCCTCTCGTGCGCCCCCTACTGGGGACCCAGCCTGCAACACAGGCCTGTGTCCTGACTGGGAATCGAACCGGCGACCCTTTGGTTCACAGGCCAGCGCTCAGCCCACTGAACCACAGAAGCCAGGCAGCCCTAAACCGGCTCTGACTCGATTGGATGAGCGGAGAACGCCTGCTGCAGGCCGAGGGAGGGGCGGGTGGAGGGGAACAGTTCTGCGGGACCCCTAGAGCGTTCTGGGCACTGGCCATGGCCTGGGCCTCCCGGGAGCCCTGGAGGTCACGGGGTCGGGCTCTCCTTTCCGATGGGGAAGCGAGCACCTGCGCAGCGCGCTCAGCCGGGACCACGGCCGGGGCGCCTGCCTTCTGCAGGGGCAGCCGCACTGTGCACTGTGCACCGTGCACCACGGGGGGAGGAGGGCGCTGCTCTGCGGGAGGGCGGCCCATTGGGAGGCAGGGGAGGCGCGGAACTTGGGGTGCGGGGCTCCCTCCCTCCCATCTGCGCTCCCCGCCCCGCCCTCCCGGATCCTGGAGGGGCGGAGCCCCGTGAGCCTGTTTGCTCTGCCACCTGTGCAGACCGCTCCTGAAGGAAGCCCAGAGGCCGCCCTCCCCTCTCGTAGGAGCCTTGGGTGGAGTGGTGGTGGCAGGCCCGAGGATGGCCCGGGAAGGTAGGCGTGTCTGAGGCTGTCTTCCCTTGTAACCGAAGGTGGAGGGGCTGCCCCGCCCCCCACCCCGGGTCTGGGAACCTCCGGGGAGCGGGAGCCGACAGCCAGCCTGCGCACCCGGCGGCTCTGTGAGGAAGCGCTGGTTGGACGGGGGCCAGGGACACGTTGGTGTCCGCCGCAGTGCTTGGGACAGACCACCCTAAAAAGTGGGAGGGGGATTAGGACGCGAGCCTTGGAGGGGCGCGTCCTCCTGTCTCCCCGGGGTCCCTCCTCCCAGGGGGTGGCCCCGCAGTGCGGCTGCTGGAGAAGGGAGCCGCCGCAGGGGAGCCGGGCGGAGAGGCCTCCCCTGTGCAGCCGCGCCTGGCTGCCTGCAAACCCGGGACGCTTTAGGGGGGCACCCTGGCCCTCCTGTTCCTGCCGACAGAGTCAGGGCAGCAAAGCGGGTGCCGGACCCGAGGCGTGTGGGCGAGGATGGGCCCGCTGCGGGGCCGCTCTGTCCCTTCCGCCTCCCCCGCCCCGCTCTGCTGGGGGCGTGGCTGGCAGTTTCTGCTTTTGCGTGCTTGTGTTCCAAGTAAAAGCACATGCGCCCGCTCTGCCCTAGGCCTCCCGTGGGCAGCACCCCGCCTGTTGTAGGTGGGTGTGGAGCCGGCCTGGGGCCGTGGGCACCCACCCCACTGGAGATCAACTGTCCCACAGAGTCAGAGTCAGTCCTGGGGCCCAGCCCGGAGGGCAGGTGTTGGGGAGGCGGGGTTAGAGGGCTTCCTGGAGGCGCACGGAGCCTCCCTGTCCCCAAGCGGCTGTCCCCAAGCCGCCCTTCTTTGCTTTAACAAATAGAAGGGGACCGCCCCGTGTCCCGCCCCCTGCGGGCCGGCAGCCACCCTGGCCCTGCAGAGCCCTGTCCCCCGGGAGCTCAGAGTCCATGGGGAGCGGCGGCTGCTGTCACAGAGCCCTGTTCCTGACAGAGGCGGCACCAGGACGGGGCTCGGGGGGTGCATTTGTCTCCAGGGCTGTTGGGCTGAGGCGCCCAGACTGGTGGCTGAGAAGAGCACTTCCACTCTCATCCCCCTGGAGGCCCCGAGCCCAGGGCCGTCCCCCGGGCCAGAGGGACGGTGTCAGCGGGGCTGTGCTCCCTCCGAAGGCTCTGGGGGACGGCCGGTCCCTGCCGCTTCCGCTTCCGGGACCCCAGTGCTGCTGGCCGGTGGCGCATCCCCGTGATCTCGGCCTCCGTGGTCACCTGCCTTCTCCTGCTCTGCCACCAAACATCCCTCGGCCTCCTGTGGCTGCGGTCACCTGTGACTGCGGTCAGGGCCACAGGGCAGCCTCCCCATCTTGAGAGCCTTAACTTGTCACCTCCGCAAAGCTCTGCTGCCCTGTAAGGGTCCAGCACCGGACACCTTCAGGGCCAGGGCCAGCTCCCACGGGAGGGAGCTTGGGGTGGGGGAGGGGCACACTACTACATCCCAGCAGGGTGGGGTGGGAGGCCAGGGAGGGGGCAGCCCGCAGGGCATCACCACCCTGGTCCTGTCCTCGCCGCCGGCAGGAGATGCAGGGGGACCCCGAGGGACTGCCCTGAGGGTCCCGGGCACGGGCCTGTTGGCTGTTCTCCGAGGAGGGGTGCTCCTCCGGGCGGGGGGGGCGTGTGCCAGGCTGTAGTCGCACGGTCACGAGTCTCAGTTCGTCCTCAGCGGTTCCTGGCCTGCTGGGACCAAGCAGGCAGAGAGGTGGTCAGGAGGGGAGAGGGAGTCGCCAGGCAGGGCGGACGACATGTCACGGTGTTGACAGTTGGGGCCTGAGGCTGGGTCCGGGCCGTGGGTTTCTATGGGGTGAAGGCGGGGCGCAGGGACGGGCAGTCGGGCTGAGGAGGAGCAGGTGTGGGCTTCCCCCATTCCGAGGGTGGGTCCTGAGTGCCCCCTGCCTGCCCGGCATCAGGCAGGCGTGTGGGCCAGCCCTGCCGGAGAGCTGCGTGGAGTGGGAGTCCTGGCGGAGCGTGGGGAGGGGGGTGGGGACACACCTGGGGGCCCCGTGGGGGGGCTCTTTCTGAGGTGCTGACATTTTTAGAAACCCCAAGAGGGAGGGTGAGGCAGCTGCGTGGGCAGGCGAACCAGCCCGGGGAGTTGGGGGGACAGGGGCTGGCTCGCTGGGGAGTGGTGAGGTCTCTCGGCGGGGGGGGGGGGGGTGCGAGCCCACAGTGACTGAGTCCTGTGGACTCTCCTGGCAGGGTGGCGGCTGAAGGGTGAGCGTGCTCTGCAGCTGTGCAGAGGACCGGTGGGGCGGAGCTGTCATTCCCTGGGGCCGCCCCCTGACGGTGGTGCTGCACCGGGGACGGCTGGGGGCTGAGCCCCAGCCAGGCCCAGGGGAGCCACTGTCCTGGGCGCCAGGGTGCTGCCGCGCTGGGCTCCGGGTGGCTGGGGCTGTTTGGACTCCGGCCCCTCCATTCCTGGCATCCGCAGGGAAGTGCCAGGGGACAGGTGCTGCCCAGAGCAGAACCACACAGGTCTGGCTTGGACCCGTGTTGCACCCACACCTGGAGAACGCAGAGACCTGACACGGCAGGGTGCAGAGCTGGCGCCCCTGTGCGCTGTCGTGGGAGCCGGACGCAGACCAGCTAGCCCTCATCTGTGTGACAGCTGGGGGGGGGGATAGCGAGAGGGGCACGGGGAGGGGTGCAGGTTGCGTCAGGAGCAGACCAGGGGCGGGGAGGACTTCCCAGCTGGGGTGGCACGTGACGCGCTCGCAGGCCCGCCCCTCCCCCAGACCGCAGGGCTCCGGCCCGTGGGCAGAGCGCCTCTGCCGGCCCCTGTCCCGGCAGCCAGGCAGGGCCACCATCGTCCGCTCTGGATGGCGTCTCATCTCGCCGACAGGGAGTGGACGGGGACATCGCTGGGGTCAGGGCTCAGTTGGGCCAAGGAGGGAACTGTGGCCGCCACGCTGCGGCGGCGCCATTGACGCTGGGCAGGCGGCCCTCCGACCGGCCCCTTCCAGCGCCTGGGAGGTCGCTGTGCCTCCCGGGCGTGACCTCTCTCCCCTCCCTGGGTGCGCAGGTCCCGCCGGCTGCTCCTCCGCACGCCCGCCGGCCCCCCCGCCCCCGGAATGGAGTGAGTCTATGCACACCCTCTGGGTCGGAGTGGGGGGCCTTCCCGTGCTGGCGTCCATGACCAAGTCCGCGGACCCCCGCTTCCGCCCCCGCTGGAGGGTGATCCTGCCGTCGTTCGTGGGCGCCGCCCTCCTCTGGCTGCTGTACGTCCACCGCCCCGCGCCGGGCCGGCCGCCGGCGCCCAGCGCCCCCCACCTGCGGCTCGGCCAGACGCCCGCCGAGCGGTACAATGACACCTACCCCCTGTCCGCCCCCCAGAGGGCGCCGGGCGGCACCCGGTACCGCATCGCGCTCATCGCCGACCTGGACACGGAGTCGAAGGCCAAAGAGGAGAACACCTGGTTCAGTTACCTGAAGAAGGGCCACCTGACCCTGTCCGACAGCGGGGACAAGGTGGCCGTGGAGTGGGACAAAGGCCACAGGGTCCTGGAGTCCCACCTGGCGGAAAAGGGGCGGGGCATGGAGCTGTCCGACCTGATCGTCTTCAACGGGAAGCTCTACTCCGTGGACGACCGGACGGGGGTCGTCTACCAGATCGAGGGCACCAAGGCCGTGCCGTGGGTGATCCTGCCCGACGGCGACGGGACTGCGGGCAAAGGTGAGTGGGGCAAAGGTGAGCGGCCGGCGCGGCGTCCTGGGCCTGGCGGAGGGGCGGGGCCAGCTGTCACTGGCCGCACTGCACATGCGCGGAGAAGGGCGGAGCTCGAGCCGGCCTATCCTGTCTGCTCTCCGGTCACTGCCTCGAGTGAAGTCCAACACGGTGACCCCTGCCGCCCAGGGCGCCAGACCCCACAGGAGCCGGCGGGCGGGGCGACCGGCGGGGTTCTCAGGCCGCCCCCCTCACCCTCGCGTTTGCAGGCTTCAAGGCCGAGTGGCTGGCGGTGAAGGACGAGCATCTGTACGTGGGCGGCCTGGGCAAGGAGTGGACCACCACCACGGGGGAGGTGGTGAACGAGAACCCGGAGTGGGTGAAGGTGGTGGGCTTCCGGGGCAGCGTGGAGCACGAGAACTGGGTGTCCAGCTACAACGCCCTGCGTGCCGCCGCTGGGATCCAGCCGCCAGGTGAGCGCTGCGGGCCCGGGGCGTCAGCAGCCAGGTTCCCACCCGACCTAACCCCCGCTCACGGCCCTGCCGTCCGCCTCAGGGGGAGCGGTCACGGCTGCCCTCCGGGGCCGGGACGAGGGGGACAGAGCTCCGGGTTTTCCCGTTGCCTCCCGAGAGTCACGGTTTGCAATACGGAGTCAGGAGGCTTGGGGCAGCCCGGCCTGCCCTGGGCTTGGGGGGCGGTGACCCAGGACCCCCGCACAGGCCCCTCCCCCTCCAGTGGGAGAGCAGAGGCGCTGCCTCTCCGGCTGCGAGTCAGGCTCTTCCTGCCCACCCTGTCCCAGATCGGCCTCGCCGGTCCCCCTGCCACCCTCCCCTGGGCACCCTGCACGCTCTGATCAGTGCCAGGGCAGCGGAAGGATAGACGGATCTCCCGGGGTGGCTTCTCAGCAGCTCCAGGGGGCCGGGGGGGCCAGGGGCAGGAGTCCGTAGAGAGGCCTGTACGGCACACGGGGACCCACGGGAAAGCTGGGTGGTGGCAGCTGACGGTGCCCGCAGGGGCTGGTCCCTACCCGCCGCGGCCCCGAGGCCCAGGCCCCCACCCTGACAGGCCTGCCCGGTCCCCCCCCCCCAGGCTACCTCATCCACGAGTCCGCCTGCTGGAGCGACACGCTGCAGCGCTGGTTCTTCCTGCCGCGCCGCGCCAGCCACGAGCGCTACAGCGAGTGGGACGACGAGCGCAGGGGCACCAACCTGCTGCTGAGCGCCAGCGCGGACTTCAGGGACGTCTCCCTCCGCCGCATCGGCGAGGTCGTGCCCACGCACGGCTTCTCCTCCTTCAAGTTCGTGCCCAACACCGACGACCAGGTCATCGTGGCCCTCAAGTCCGAGGAGGACAGTGGCAACGTCGCCACCTACATCATGGCCTTCACGCTGGACGGGCGCATCCTGCTGCCGGAGACCAAGGTCGGCGGTGTGAAGTTCGAAGGCATAGAATTTATTTAAATTTAAAACTTAAGACATCAGACGAGGCCAAGGGTGGACGGTGGAAGCTACTGTGCACCGGGACTCAGGTTTTATAAAACGCAGAGGGCTGCCCTTTTCTGGCGTGTGTTGGCTCTTTTTCTCTCCCGGAACCGGCAGGCGAGTATCCGGTTCAGAGACCTCGCCGGCGGGGCCCTGCACCATGTCTCCCGAGTTGGGACTTCCCAGAGCGGGGCGGTCCCGGCCGCTGCACGGCCCCCTGTGCTGCCACCTGGCGGCGGAGGCTGGTCATTGCCGGCACCGCGGTGTGGGCCACGCCCTCCCTCCCGTCTGACCTCCCTCCCTTTTCTCGCCTTAGTTCTCTGGTTCAGTAAACGCTCCTGAGCCCCCGCGGGGCGGCGCGGGGTGTGGAGCCCTGCGTCCCTGTGGGAGCACAGCAGGGACTCTCACGTGCACCCGCCCCTCGGGGACTCCGGGCCACCCCCGGGTCCTCCTTCCGCCCGAACCTCGGGCGCTGAAGCCACCCCGCGAGCTTGGAGAGCACCCGGTGACCCTTTGGGACGATGCCCGGCTGTGAGCGAGGGCGGGCCTCTGGGGACTCGCCCCGCCCCCAGGACATCGCAGGGTCCCTAGCCCACCCATCTGTCCCCACGCCTCACAGCAACCAGTCATGATTTCACACGGCTGGTTCCACGTTCTCCCTCCAGGAGGATTCCATGGCTCCATAGCTCTTGGAAGTTTTCATTATTAACTTATTTTAATTAAAGCAACTTCCTTGCGAACAGACGGGAACCGCCACATCTTACCGCACAGGGCCGGGTCTGCGGTTGGCACATGCGCTCCCCACTCGAGGGAGGCGGGACTGGGCGGCTGCCGGCGGGAAGGCCGGCGTTCGGCACCTGCGCGCCCTCGGCCAGGGGGTGTGAGGATGAGGAAAACAACGTCCCCACGCCCCAGGGAGAGGCTGGGGACGAGGCCAGCCGGGCCCCGTGCTCCCTGCCCCTGCCCTTCACTTCTCTTACTCCCGAGGGGAGTTTTGGGGCCCCAGGAAACCCCCCTCAGACTCTGGCTCGTTTCGGTTCCTGTGGTCTCCCCAGAGGACGTGGGGCAGAGGTCGGCGGGGACCCAGGCCGAGGAGGGCCTCTGGCCTGGAAGCTGCCGCGCCTGCCGGAGAGGGCAGGGCGCCGTCCGGGCCCTGGCTGGGCCGCCTGTCCGGCCTTGGCTGTGCCGTGCGGGTGCCTGCGTTGCAGGGTCTCCGCTCTGGGGCTTGAACTCAGCCGCCGGGAGGGAGCCCAGGGGTGGGTGCCCCTCCTCGCACGGCTGGGCCTCACACGGGTGTGTCCTGCCGCCGAGCAGACGGAGAGCAGAGCACAAGCTGCTGACAGCGGTGTGTTCCGGACGTGGCCGCCCCAGGCACATCTTTCCGGACGGCGCCCCCTGGATGGGTGGCCGCGGCGTGGCTAGCGCTGCGTGCGTCTGAAAGTGCAGAGGCGAAATTAGGAGGGTTGGAGGATTTGGGACAGTCCCCAAGCTGAGACCTTTCTGATGCATTAATGTTGACACCTCGGCCACGGCCAGGCCCCAGCCCCAGCCCACCGCGTTCGCCCCGTGACCGCCATGCCCGAGCTCCTGGCCGGAGCCACTGTCCCGCGAACAGCAAAGCTCGGGCTGCGAGTCCGGCCTGTCCCCTGCTCTGTGTTGGCCTCCCCCCCAAGGCTCTGCGGGGCCAGGGGACAGGAGAGACCCTCGCTGAAGGGCGTCGGGCCTGGGCTGCGTGCTGCGGAGTCCCTGGGGCAGCCGCCTGCGAGGACCAGGGGAGCCTCCCTGGAAACTGAGTCACCGAGTCCAGCGTTTCCTGGAAACGGGGGCGCTCTTTGGGCCACCGTGGTTACGAGTGTGGGCTCCGACGCCACTCCCGGGTTGCCGTCCTGGCTCGGGCCCTTGCCGGCTGCGTGACTCGGCCAGGCGACCTGACTTCTCAGCCTTGATTCCCTCCTGCGTGGAAGGGAGGCAGCGGCAGAGCCGTTGGCAGAGCCATGGAGGACGTGGCGTGCTTCCACACACCGGGGGGTGCTGGGTCGGCGCCCCGTGCCCCTGGGAGAGCCGGGGTGGGGGGCGGGGCAGCTGGAGCTCCGGGAGTGGGCCGGGGAGGTCTGCTGGGCCAGTGACAGAGCCTCGGGGACCCTGCAGGGAGGGACCGCTGCCCCGGGGGCCAGAGCTGGAGGAGACATGGCCATCAGCATGAGGAGACCAGGAGGGAGCAGCGTCACAGAGGCCAGTGTCCCTGTCTTCCTTCTGTCCCCCAGACCCACTCTGTCCCCGCCCCACTCTGCGTCCCCAGAGGCTGGCCCCAGTGAACCTCGCCATGGGGAGGCAGTGGGGAGCAGGTGGGCCAGGAGCTGACCCCTGTCCCCGAGGCAGTGCCCTCCGCACTTGCTCCCGGCCCTGGCCCTCTGCCTGGGGTCACAGCTGCAGGCCCCGCACTTGATGAGCAGTCCTTCCCCGCCCCCCCCAGTTAGAAGAGACACTTTATTTAGACAGTTACAGAGGAAGTGGAAGTGAGCTGCAGAAGCAACAGACTCGGGAGACAAGTCACAGAAGCACAAGCAGGGCCCTGGGAGCTTAGGAGGGGGGGGAAGGCCAGGCGCTGGCGCCTGGGGGAAGAAGGGGGCCTGAGTGCTCCCCAGAGGGAAAGCTGCCAACAGCCCTTTCCCTAAAGTCCCCAGGGCTGGCCTGGGTTTAGGGCCTGCAGGGGCCGGCGACGTCCGGTGCTGCAGGGAGCGCAAGCATGAGGGCCTGGGCGGTGTCCCTGGGCTGAGCTGGAGGACCGGGCGTTCCGGGCGGCTCCAGGAGCGGGGCACAGAGGCGGGGACGGGAGGGGGCACCGCACTTGGAGTCCCCGGATCTGGAATTGAGTCCCAGCACAGGCCCACGCAGGCGGTGGCCCGCACCTCCGTGCCCGGGGCCACCACGCAGCAAGAACCCTGAAAGGCTAACTGCTCCCCGAGTGTCCATCTTGTCCTCTCGTGCATTTTAAGTTGGTAAATTTGAAGGTAAATTGTGCCCTCACGAAATCGTTCAGAGAGTTCAGTAAAGCAAAACGGAAATACCTTCACGCAGAGAAACCCCCAGCCCAGTCAGCAGCTGTGCTGGTGGAGCACGCCAAACCCACAGGCAAGAGGTGGTGCCCAGACAACATGGACCTGTCACGGTTCGGGGCACGGGGGACACTCCCCAACTCAGTTCCGGGGGGCACCGCCGGCCAGGTGCCCCGCCGGGTGCGGGCATCCCCAGCAGCGGTGTAGGCCGCCGAGGCCGGCAGCACACGGAGGCGAGAGTGCCTCACGACAAAGTGAGGTTTATTCCAGGGCACAAGGTGTGTCTGGAACAAGTCCAGCCCTTGTTAATACAACGAGCAGGTTTGCATGACATCGGTGTCACCTAGCAGCCGAGGAGCATGGGCTGGAATGCGCACGTGTGTGAGCAGCGACCACCTCACTGCACTGGTCAGCGGGGGCGGGAGACGCCGCTGAGTGAGCCTGTGTCCTGGGTGACCGTCACAGTCAAAAATGCCTGAGCAGGTAGAGCAATGAACCCGCATCAACTTTCGTGTGAAGCTTGAACGTTCCCCAGCGGAAACTGTTCGGCTGACTCAGCAGCCGCAGCGCGGGGCAGCTGGTGATTGGCAGCTCCTCACGACAACATGCCCCTGTTCATGCATCACGTCTCATGCAGAGTTTTTTGGCAAAACATCAAATCACCCAGGTGACTCAGTCCCCCTACAGCCCAGATTCAGTGCCCTGTGACTTCTGGTTTTTTCCAAAACTAAAATCCCCTTTGAGAGGGAAGAGAGTTCAGACTGTCGGTGAGATTCAGGAAAACACGACGGGGCAGCTGGTGGCGCCTGGGAGAACTGTGGGAGGTCCCTGGGTGCCCACTTTGGAGGGGACGGAGGCGTCCTTGTCCCGCGTGCAGTGTGTCTTGTGTCCTGTGTCTTTTCCGGTGAGTGTGTCTGTTTTCCACACTGCGTGGCTGGTTTCTTCCGCGCGGCCCTCACACACTGTGCATTCTGTGTGCGAAAACCAATGTAGTCGCCATCTTTCCAGCTAAAAAGGAAAACCCATATCATAATCTCAAAAGCTACAGAAAAAAAAAAAAACATGACAAAATCCAACACACACTCACGACCGAGAAACAAACAACAACTTTACCGAACTAGGAACAGAGGGAACTCAGTGGAGAACCCTCGGCCGCTGAAGCGGAGCCGTGGTGCAGACGCCCGCTACCCCCATGCCCCTCCCCTCCACCCGCCTCTGCTCCGAGACCGTTCCACACCTCGGGGGGGTCGTAAAACCGGTGCACGGTCACCTCCACCGCTCACTCCCCGGCCATCCCGCTGCGGGAGGGGGAGGGGGGGAGGGGCCAGACCGTGCGACCGGGCAAGACAGAGGACCGTCCCTCAGATCCCAGAACAGTCACGCCGTCTTCACTCGCCAGTGGCAGGGTTGGCTGGGTAGAGGAGTCTACGAAACCGTCAAAAAACAACCCCTGGAACGAGCAGCGGTGAGTGTGGCCACGCTGCGGGATACACCGTGCGCACGCAGAAGTTAACTGTGTTTCTGGGTCGCTGCCGTGAGCAGTTGGAAGTGGGAGCTGTTTAACACGACTTCATTGACAATAGCGCCAGACAGACATGACACAGCTAGGAACCTAACCAAGGGCGTGCAGACCCACGTGCCAGGACGGCGAGACACAGACGGAAGAAACAAAAAGGGTCCGAACGAGCAGAACGCGAGAGCCCGTCCTCGTGGATGGGAGGAGTCTGTTCTGAGGGAGGAGCCAGGTCGGAGGACTTCACTGCCCGACTTCCAGACGCAGCACGGGGCACACGCACAGGCGTGCACGCGAGCCGAGGGCGCAGGGAGCCGGAGACCGACCCACGCGTGACCTTTGCCCCAAGTGGGTGGGGCCGGGGCGCCTTCACGTGAGGCCTGGGCCGGCTCTGCTTCGTGTGAAAGCAAAGGGTGGAAACTCACATCCCCCCCCACCCCCCGCACGCAGAGGTGACTCAGCGTGGACCACGGACCAACGTGCAAGAGCTGAAGCTACAAACCCAGAA